GACGTTTTTTTTTTTTTTTTTTTCCATATTGAAGTGACGCCGTCGAGTGTAAAATTAATAACGGACGTTATTATAATAATGTTGTACGTGAATATATTATTATCGCCATATTATTATTATTATTAATATCGTTGTCGTTGTTGTTATTGTTGTCGAACGTTAATGTTTTAACGAGCGAAATATATTCATTATGTATACTCGTATAAACGAATTCGACGTGACGACGACGTTTTATTTATTTATTTTTTCAAAAACTTTATCCACTAAAAACTATAAAATAATATCCTAATAATAATACATACCCACGCCGACGTCTAATTAATTCATTATTATAATATAATTGTGTGTGTGTTCAGTTATAGCAGTGGTTCTCAACAGTTTTCAAAAATCTCACACACCTCCTCCCCTTAAATTAGATTATACTATTGGAGTTTAGACGACCTTCTCTTTTTTTTTTTTTTTTTTTTTTTAATTAAGTTTTACAAAATAACTACATATATTATACATTGCGCATTACATACAACTAAAATTAATTTATTGTTTTCAATATTACTGATTGTAAAATGGCCCACTTAATTATTTTAACAACGGAATTCTCGTTATTTCATCATCAGTATACTACCCCCCGTGTGCAGTATCTAAATTCTCCCTGGGGGGGAATTCCCCTCTACGCTTGGGAACCACTGTGTCATAGTATAATGTATCGCGCGTTATTATGTATCCATATACGGTTGACCTATTGTACTCGGTTTTTTCTATAGGCGGGCGAATACATAATACAGTACGTAATCGATAATACCAAGTATATACTCATTGAAAACGCTCGCCGTTCGTTTTGGGTTTTTTTTTTTTTTTTTTTTTAAAGTTTCCTTGCTTTCGATCGAATGTTCTTTTTTTTCATACCACGCGCCGTAATACTATTGTAAAATTCAAAGCCGGACGGGTCATTCGATATACCGCTATAGCTTGTATGTAGGAAGTATATATATAGAGTCGATTATACGTTAAATGTATTATGCTATGGAAAACCGCGATATGATTTGATTGATTATTTTTTGATTTTTAAAACCTACACTGTTTCCGAATATATAGGTTAGATCAGTGGCGTATCCAAAATTGTTTTGTTTTTTTGGGGGGGGGGGGTTGAAAAAAATCTAACAAATAAAATTGTTTTGAATTTTGTGTGTATTATAATCATACATTTAAATATTTTATTACTATTTTACAGCGCTAATTATATAAAAGTTGTAATATTTATCTTTTTTAAAAATTATAAATGTATATTCGTTTTTCGTTTCAATGTTTTAACAAGTTCATTTATAACGTCATTAATATTCACGTTGATATCACGATGAATATATTTTAGTGAGGCTAAACCATTTAAACGTATTTGTCCCGAAGAATTTCTCTATGTTTTCAAACGACGGAGTGTTGAAAACGATCGTTCTCCTGTGGCAGTAGATAATGGAAGTGTTATGAATATTTGAAGAAGTTTAGATATAACTGGATAAACATCTGGACTAGTTTGGAAGTATACTTCAATAGCATTTTTTTTTCTTTAGTTAGGAAGATGTTAAATTTGAATATTTAGTGTACCACAATTCTAACTCTCCGTTTAATATATGATCATTTAAATTTGACTCGTTACATTCATCAAATATATCTTGATATGTTTCTACTAATTTTTTGAATTTAATATCTTCATATATTTTCATTTCTATCTTAGGTAAAATACAATCAGAATTATTCAAAACAATCCTGTGAGGTATAAATCTTACGTTTAATTGGTCTAAACAATTATCTATGGAAGGTATGAATACAGAGAACTTAAACAAATATTTTGGTTAATCTCATTTAGATTGAAGTGGCAAACTAACAGTAATAACAAATTTTTCTCTGAGAGTTATTATAGATGAAAATAATTGTTGAAACTCTACATCACAATTTTCTCTAATATCCTGAATATTATGTTGAACATTAGCAGCTTCTAATCCAGTTTTTAAATCAAGACTTACTGTTTGAAGATATCGGCTAAGTGTAAAACTCGTGGAAAGAATTTTCACTAAAATAGATAAAGCTGTTTGAAATTTTAACTGTTTTATCGCAGTAAGAAGATGACTTGCAGAACTAGAAGTATTTTTTTTATTTAAAAGACATTTCGAGAATGGGGAGTTTCAACCCCCTAACCCCCCTCCCTGGATACGTCGGTTAGATTAGAATAGTCAAAATAAAGTATGCCTTACTCGAGTTGAAACTATTAACTTTTTTGTTTTGCACAAAATACATAAATATAGTTATTGCATTTAAAGAATAGATTTAAAAAAAAAAAAAATACTGAAATCTAAGAAAAGAATATTTCAAGTTTTCAACACATTACGTTCAGTTATAAATTTATTCGGCATTTAAAACAACTGATAGAGTTTAAATATTTAATACAAATAACTTTTCAGCTTAATTCTCGCTTTCTAATTATTAAGTGTCCAGATTAATTAAACCATACGTCAAGTACCTTCGTTTGCGTATATTTGTTTAATTATGCACATTAAAACCTACCGCTTATAGTAATGAATACATACAGTTAAATAAATGCGGATTGAAAAGAGTACTGTAATAATCGATTGGTTTTCATAATATTATTGCATTAATCAGTCTTGTAAAAATACTTTTAAAATTGTATTTATATACAGAGACAAATACATCTATTTAGAAATTATTTCAAATACTTTTAAGAACAATTACTGAAGAACAAATTCAAATACTTGAAATGTATTTAAATACTATTGTTTTAATTTGACTTAACAGTTAATATAAGTATATTAAAATAATGTCTGTAAAAATAATATCTATGAATAATACTTATAATAATTATTAATAATTAATACTGTCAATATACGACTGCACGTGTAGGTAATTTTAAAAACTAGTCAACAGTAATAATTGCATCTCGCACATAATATAATATTTTCCCAAACACGATAATTATTAATACGAGACATTTAACCCGTCAATAGTCGTAAATAATCAATGAGTCAAAACTCATCTCTTAGCGTATTTATAAATATGTTTTTTTCTGACATTATCTGTAAGTCAGGTTCGTAACTCTGACTTGCTTATCGAAATTGTACCATTATTCGATTATGCTATTTATTTTAGTTTTTTAGTGTGTTCAGTACTCGTGTATCGAGAGTACATTTTCCTATTTGGAAAACTTTTACCCCGTGCGACTGATCAGTAAAGACAGGTTTTTTTTTTATAATTTTTATTCATAAAATAATATGGAATATCATTTACTTAAGGTTAATAAAATAATTGTTTCTATTCATAAATAATAAGTTTTTATAAGTTATTAAGAAATAATTTTGAAATATTTCGTGTAGTGGAGAATTTTACCCTGCGCGTGACCAAATATAAAAAAAAAAATCATGTGAGGGCTTAAGTAATAATCTACAAAAGCGCAAGGTTGATCACAATTCAAATAGGACTCAATTTACGGTACTTATCCATTTTTAAATGAGGGAATCAATTTACTGATTTTGAATAACGATAAATACGTTTTTGGGACTCAATTTACCTACGCCCAAGATTATTTTTGCGCGAAACATAATAATATGTAATGATATTTAATAAGTGATTATGATAAATTGATAACCTAACGGCTATTCCAAAATGAATGTATCATCCACCTTGGACGGTTCGGTTTCGGTTTCGGTACCGTTACTTATCGTTACGAGTGCGTTCGGCTTGGCGTTCGATAGCCCTCGGAAGTGTTCAGACTACAACCATGACGTCACGGAATCTAAGCACTACGTCATCGATCCGCGCTCACAAAACGTTTACAGGAAATAGGTAGTGCGGTAATTAATGCGTCAGCGCTTTGGAGTGTAGACGAACGAAATAAAGCGTTTATACTACAACGTTAACACTGATAACAAATAATGATGGTAACAAATTTTAAATTTTAAAACTATTTTTAAAGAATATTGTTCATTATAATACTTATTATTCATTTTTAGTATTTTTGTTTAATTACTTTTATAAATAATTATTCAGTTACACATGTTTTGAAAGGCCGTAATATTTACGATTTCGTCAAAATATGATGCTAAAACTCCTATAAAAAAATCAATTACATTCAATTTTTTTTTTTTAACTTAGAGTATGATTTATAATGAACCTCTTGTTCAATTTTTAAGTATTTTTGTTTGATCTAACAACTTTATCCACACAGTACCTACTGAATAAAAATTACGTAAAAATTCGCAAAGTTAAAATGTCTATAAATAGTTCAAAAAGGCTAAAATATTTTGAAAACTTTACCAAGACTAAAAATATCAAATTTTTGTACAAATTTCAAGTCCCTATGAATATATTTAACTGAATCACAACAAAAAAAAAAAAACAAAATTGAAAATAATACATTTCGTAAATTTTCCCGTTTTTTTCCAAATTATTATAAAAAATTCGCTTAGTAAATCACAAAATTACCAACTTAAAGTACCACCCAGATGAAATTTCTTTCGGAAAAAGTATTATGCTTGAAAATCGGAATAAAATTTCTAGTACAGAAGTTGTTCAAAGAAAAAAAAACATCATTATAAAAGCAATACATTCTTATCGTTTCGCTCAGAATCTAAAATGAAAAATGAATAATTTAATGTATAGCCGTATAGATATTTTACTTATAGTTTATTTATAACCAGAGTTTTCGAATATATATATATGAGCATATGTTCTTGAGTTCTAGTACATTTCGTAAAATATTAAAATTCTTGATTATTCGTTATTCGATTTTTTTTTTCTAAGTTCTAGTTTTTCTTATAAGTCCATTTGGCTAACTCGGGTACCTACATAAGTTTAGAAAGGAAATTTAATTCTCTATTTCGCCTCTTGGTTGGTAAGCTCCTACAAAATTAGGGAGTCTCCTACTGTAGAGTAATTATCTAGGAGTCCTACATGGACATAATGTAAACTTATACACAAGATAAACCTGATATAGTTTATACTATTGTTAAAGAGTACTTATTGGACACATAACCCGTGTCTTTTGTAAATAAATAAATAAATATACTCCTTTAACAGATAGTGTAATCTCTTACACTATCTTATAGTATATTATAATTTAAAAAAAAAATCGTTAAACATATTATTATTATTTTAGATTCTGAGCGGAGCGAGGAATGTATTGGTTTTACAATGATGTTTATTTTTTTTTTCTGTGAACAGCTTTTCTAATAGACATTTAGCTCCAATTTTCAAGTCAGGCACTTCTTCCGAAAGAAAATCTGACTCTCATGGTACTTTAAGAAAGTAATTTTTTGATTTTCCCAGCTGTTTCATAATCAATGGGAAAAAATAAGAAAACGTACTAAATGTATCAGTAAAATATTACGGCCTTTTTTTCTTGTGAACAAATTTTCTGCTAGCAATTTTTTCCAATCAAGTTTTCACAATAATTTGGAAAAATCAGAAAAAAAATTATATGAAAAACTGACGAATTTACGGTAATAGAAGATTCAGCAATGGTTAGCAATGGTAGCAATGGTTTATCGTTGCTTACAGATATAAATTAAATAACTTTATGTATCTATCTACTAAATATTATTGTAATCGGTCTATAATTTTAAAAACTAAAAGTAAAGGACAACGAGCACCCAATACTCCCGATATTTGCGCTACTGTCTACAACAGCATATACTATACCACTGAATGCATTGCTAATAAAATTCTACAATTGTATAATATGATTGTGTAACAATTGTTTACACTTTACATTTAATGATCAACAACCCCAAAAATGTAATCCGACAATAGATTATAGTTCAAAAGAACTGTATCTCGAAGAAAACAATATAAATGATGTATAACTCGAAAACCAGCCAACAAGAATTTAATTTTTTGTGAGCCAACAAAATTAATCTGTGAACCAATATGCAGGGGATTGAATTAAGAAAAAAAAAAATAAGAATAAAATTTAAAATTATTGACTGACACTATCTATTGAATGATTATGTGATAGGGCATATTGTGTAATGTTGTGATATTGATAAGTAGCGTATGGCATACATAAAATATATGACAGTCATATATTTTAGTATTTAGTTCGTGGTCATGTTATGACTACGATAACAATATAGATATTATGTATAAATGAAGATAATATTAATTTTAAAAACTCTTCAGTCGTTAATTGTGCGTGTCTTTGCTGGCAAAATAATAATTAATATTAGAAACGAATCGTGTGTGAAAAGATAAAATTTTAACTGCTAAAAATGAATATCAAAGAAAAATTATATTGAATACAGTTTAGGTCAAATATCACGAAAGAAAGGTAAAACAAACATATCCTATAAATTTAATCAAATTACAAATTTTTAGAATACATTTATTTTGATTATGACGTCATAATGACTGTACCTACAGTTTTATTTTAAATTTATATTGTATTGATAATAACAATGTTTATATAAATCATCATTCTTTGTTATTATGAATAATATATTTATGAACGATTGAATTACTAGCTTGAATGACGAAAATCTACTGAAATAATTATTTTGTAGTAAACCGTATTTTTATTAGGGACGTAACTGGTACTTGTATACTTTTTTTTAACAGGTACGGAAATGATACATTAATTTTTTTTTTATGCTGGATCAAGTCGGTAAAAAAAAAAAAGGTTATTGAAACGGGACTCGGGAGCCGGATTTTACGTTTATATCAACGATTTTTTAGCGTATAGATACGACTATTGCTGTAATAAGATACTTTAAATTAGTATCTAGGTACAGATATATTTTATTTGAAAGTATCTAGATACAGATACAACTATCTTAATAGTATCTTAAGATACATTTAAGAAAACAGATAATTTTTCATAAATATTTAATTTATTAAAAATTTAGAATTACAAAGTTATAACAAAACAAGTAATAGGTATATAATTTACAATACAATAATTTTCATCTATATTTTTACATCAGTTTTCAAATATATTCTTATTCTTATAATGCTATTGTTATAATACAGTCATTGTCAATACATAACAATTTTAATACATTGGTTAATTATTGGTAAATATAAAATAAATTATGTGTATTATCTACTTGTTAAAACACAATACTCGTACATAATAATTTATAATAATAAAGAAAGCAGAAAATAATACTTATCGCAATAAACTGTTGATATTTTTATTTAAACAAAATTAAATTTTAGAATTGTACGTTTTATTTTTGTATTTTTTCGAACCAAAAATGTAATAATTGTATCTTAAAAAGTATCTTAGATACACAATATTTTGTATCTAAGATACGGGTACAGACGTATATTTGTATAAAGTATCTAGATACAGATAAAAGATATGAAAAAAAAAGTACCTAGATACTGTATTTTAGATACATGTATCTAAAACAGCACCGGGTACGACGGACATTTAATAATCTATAAACGGTCTATAGGAAACGAAAACGCACTCCATAATAACAATATAATCGATTGTACAGTAAAACTTGTATGGTGTGTACGTTTATTATTTACTGTATACCGTACATATGATCATGTGTTACGACGGTACGTGTAATGCACGCGCCTATTATACGTTGGTTTTTTTAGCATTTATAATTAATAATGCGACGATCGAAGGTTATAATATACGTTGCGGTGTATCTGTTACGCACGCGTATTATAATATTACGGCGCATGGACGTATCGAAAACTTTCTTAGACGATGCGCGACGACAATCCGCGGTAATGTGTACGATACGTGTAGTGTAAGCGTGAACCATCCGATGGGTGACATTTTTTATTGTACAGGATATGTATATATATGAAAACCGACGTCTGAATTACAGATACGCGGATACCCTATAGATGCGGGTATCTAAATATCGTGTTATTAGTCGTGTTACGTTATTATATATATATATATGTATGTATGTTGGATGCGCGTAGGGCGTAGGTGTAATATTGGTACTTACGATCAGTAGGACTGCAACCGACCCGTTATTTGCGCCATCTTCGGGACACAATATACGCGTGTGCGCAAAACTTTACAAAGACTCTGTACGTATATATGTGTGACGTATACTGGTATAGTATTGTAATTACATATATTATCGCAGTGACGATGGCGGTGTGTGTACGAGACACATTATTATAATACCCACTATAATGTTATTATATTATACGTAACTATATATACACACACGCATGTAAGCGCGTGTTATAATATTATACTTTACTTACCGAACACTATAGTAATGCTCGGCGGGTTCAAAACGCGTGGCGCGCACCGCGTTGCCGTTACAGTTATTCCTACACGGAGACTCGCGGACGATTATGCGCAACGTGCGACGGCTGTAAAACGTACACGTGAATAATAATTTTATTACAATTGTTATATAATTAATTACATTAGATTTCAATTGCATATTTATATTCGTTGTTTTGTACTGTCTGTGACGTATGCGCCTGAATCAATGCGAGCAGGCAGTGCAGTGGCACGACGGATGTACGCCGTAATAGTGTCCGAGGGGGGCTGCATACTCGTGTTATTGGCGAAGTGATTTTATCCGAAAGTATTTATTTTTTTATTTCATTTTCAGTGTTTGTTTTATTTTTTTTTTTTTTTTGGTATTTTCTAATCGGAGCATTTTCGCAAACCGAAAACGTGTTCTCCGAGAAAAAAACAAATACTTATCTATCAGTAAACGGCGAGGAACAGCTTTATTTATCGAAAACAAATTTCGGCGGACTGTATTAATTGAAAGTTCCCTTATTGCGCTACACAACATACTGGGTCAACATTAAAATACATACACTTCAGGTGAAACAGATATTATAAAAATGGGTTGACAAGCGTACAGTTACGTATGGATTTTTCGCTAAAGCCTTGGACGGACGGGTCGCACTTTATCATTAGATTATGTAAACGAAAAAAGTGAAGTACACGAACGTATAAAAAAAAAGTAACGGTTTATACAGTAACAGTTCCAGAACCTTTTGCGCTCGTGTTGTATTAGGTTTTTCGCTATTTTACTGAAACTTCTTCGTGGAAAAAAAATATATACATCATGTGTATTATATGGTGTAATAAAAAAGTGTATTTTATATTCTCCGCGATATCTATCCGTATAGATATAAAACATAGGCGTCGGGTTATCTTATATTATTATTATTATTATATTATCACGATATAATATTATAATATTATTATACATAGCGTGTATGGTCGGTGGTCACAATATATATAATAACGTTAAAATGATGGCGTACGTTGATTAGGATCTTTAGTAACATTTGTACGAGTACCCATTCCAAAAAAAAAAAAAAACTTAAAATGTAAAAACACCGCATCGTCGTTGGTGAAACTATATAATACAGTTAGGTAAATAATTAATGCGAATTTTATTAGATGAATATACTCGACTAAAGTTCATAATATTAAAACCTGTGTTGATCCCATAGACGGAGATTTGATTGAATTTTGTTTTTTGAGGAGGGGGGGGGGTATTTAAGTGATGAGCAAGAAAAAAAATATTTCGTATTATACCCGTATAGTGCAGTATACCCATTCGTTGTCACGCATAAAGACGTAATAAGGCATAAAAGGTCAATGTAATTTCGGGGCATATATTTTATAATTTTTCAGGGAAGCCTAGAATAATTATTTATTTTTTAAATCGTGTTTAGGGGGTCATGGAAAATTTCGGAATTTAATTCCACCCCTAGCCTCCCTCCCCGGAATCTCCGCCTATGGCATAATCCGCTTTTACAATTATCAGAATAATACAAATCTGTTTGTTGCGATATCCGAACAGTTTAAATTTTCAGAGAGTGAGAGCCCTTTTTGTCGGAAAGTCCATTTCAATAATTGTATCAGTTTATCGGTTCAATATTGTTATACAAGCACCTTTCCCAGTAACGGAGTTATATTTATACCTAAAGGTGTTATATTATGATGTACAAGTAAAGGTATATCGTAATATTATATACATAGCAAAATCGTTCAATGTCCATCATAACGACTACGCTGCGTGAAGTGTCTACATTTTAACGAAGCTGCAGTATGTCGCGTCTGTGGTGAATAATTAATTTGCACATGATGCAATAGCCGTACGCTCTTTTCATATTTTATCAGTGTACACAGAGCTATTACAGGTACTTTCGACCAGTAAGATCTGTGCATAATATCATTTAAAAAATACAATGTTTTATGTCATCAGCGAGTATTGAATTTCGGTTAGATAATATTTACTGTTTATGTATTATATATATACATGTTTTTACTATATTACTAGCTGTCCCGCTCGGCGTTGCCCGTGGCAATTTTTATTATTTTTTTTTACCCATATTTCTTTTTGGTTTCGACCGTGCCAGTAGTGAATAAAAAAAAAATAGGTGGAAAGTGGGTAGTCCACTGTTGTTTAGTTGTTTAGTGAATATGACAAAACAAAACTCGAAAAACATTTCGTGGAACGTACGATACTCATCTGGTGAGCCTAGAAATTACGATACGTTGGTTAATAGAAATAATTTTGCAAAAGCCTGGGTTGTATCCGACAATTAATTTGTTTTATGTTTCGCCGTATTATAGTAAATTAATTAAATAGACTTTATATATTTTCTTTAATAATATTTGTTTAATGTTGTACCGTTTTCATACGGTTTTTCCGTGTTTTTTTTACGTTTATTGGAAAAACTCCATATGCAATTATTTTTCCATAATACGATGTATATATTGTTGACCGAACTCTGCTAGGAGTCGTTTCTCGTTAGCGATGGTTAATCGTTGCGTACAGATATAACTGAAATTTCCCCTCTACCTTCCCAACTTTTCGCCTACAACAGTGGCCTACACATCGCGCGATGTATGTCCGTATATTTTCTTCTCTAAAACGGCCTCTTCCCGGAGAAACAATAATATTATCAATGCAATAACAATATTATTTTTTTTTCTAGAACAGAATGTTGCACTTTTGGAAATTCTGAATCAAAAATATACATGTGCATTTTTAGTTTTGTTTTTAATCGTAACGAAGGTCGTGTTTTTGTATTAATAACAACACGTGTCTTTTTAGGATCACATTTCAAAATAAAATCATAAAGTCGTATGCAATATTGCTTTATAACATTACATTGAGAATCAATCGAACATTACCACGTTCGGTTTGATTGTCTGAAGATTCGGAACTAAATACTTAAAAAATATCTGAGAGTAACTGAAATTTAAATGAACGTTTAAGTGTATACCTAACTTTGCTACGGCAAAATAATTTCTTCGATTGTGACAATTTAACACATACCATATAATATTAATTATCGATACAGTCGCGGGCCTCTGTGACCCTCCCAATTGGTATTTAATTAAGTTAATTTATATATATACATATAATTGGTTTTAAAATGCTACCTACTAATAATTCGTATTTAATTAACACTAGCCGAAAGAAAAATATTAAAAAAATTAAGTCATTTTAAAGAGAAAAAAATAAAACGAGAAGTTAGTTTTTACACAGCATTAATTAAATAAAATTATAATAGGTATTGATTTATAAAATATATATATATATATATATATATATATATAGGTAATATCAATTAAAGCTGAGCAAGTCAACCAATTTGTTCAACTTGGTCAAGTAAAGTTATTTAAAAAATTAACGAAGCTAACTTAAAGTTTTAAACGAATCTGAGGAACTTATAAGTTAAGTTGCACAATTTTTAAGAAAATTATAATACTCAGTTAAGTTAAAAGTTACTGTTTTAAAATTACCCTTTACTATGTATAGGTAAGTACACTAATAAACGTGTTTTGTACCGTTATATTTAGACTTTCATACACTTACTATACGAGATTCGTGTGGGTATTCCAATATATTTCATATTCCTTGGCCATATGCCCGTTTCGTTATGTGATAGCTGATAATGATATTCACGTAATAATACTTCATAATTTCCATAAAAAAAACACCGCAAAAACATTGGTACGTATATAATTGTAAATAATTTAAATTTGTATAAACTAACTAATTGAAGTTAAGATTATTTATTATTAAAAGAAATATTTAAATCATTTTTTTAAATCGTTTTTTTTAACTAGGTAGATAGTTAGGTTAAATATTATCAAACAAAAGTAACTTATAATTTAACTTTTAAATATTTATCTAAAGTTGCTAATAAGGCTATCTCACTTTTATAACAACACAGACACTGCATTAGGAACATTAAAACACTTTTCGTTCTGAAAAACAATCTCTATATTTACTAAACCATTTGATTTTGTTTTTGTCAATATTGTAGTGTAGATACGTAGATAGGTACTACTTATGTTTATATAGGTTATTACCTATATAATAATATATTATAATACTTACACTTAGCATTTATCAACGACACAAACGACTATATATTATAATAAATCAAATAAACGATCTCTTCAGAGCAGAATTAATACAATATTATAATAATTATTTCGTAGTGTGTAGGTGTAATATACAGCGCGGTAATATTATTATGTTAGTTATAATAATAATAGTAATAATAATAATTTAATAATCAAATAATTATAATAATATTATTGTTCTATGACTTTCGATTCATACAATATTATAATATTATAAAGTGTAGACAGTAGTTAGTTATACTACAGTAGGCAGTTATAATAATATACTCACCACTACGTCGACCTACTTGTGTTCCATCGGTGGCATCGGCACGTTCCTCCGTATAATAATATATACGCAGTATACTACACACACTGTATATTACTTTAGCCATCACAATCGTTTTTATTAATCGATAGCAATTAGAAAAAAAAAAAAAAAAAATAAAAATAAAATACCAAACGAATCGTGTCAATAATATATAGTAATAGGTAGGTAGGTCCGTACGTAAGTACTGAACACCGAGGCGTTAAACTCAAATCAGTAGGTAAGTATCTATTATTAATTTGTATTTTCGCTATACTTAGTGGTAGATGTCTATACTTAACATTACGAGTCAATATCAATATAAGACCATTTGGATAATACCAAAATCCCGTATAAAAAGCACGGTCAGCTCTCGCTTACATTCGTTACTTATTATAATTTATGGTATTGCGATGTACCGGAAAATGACAAGTGTAAAATAATAATGTACGATCCGTAAAAAAAAATCGATTACACAAAAACACGACCCATATACCGTTGATATGATATCGACCCGTCGCGGACACCGCAGGTGGATTCGTACGAAGTATCGTAGATACCTAAATCACGTCACATGAACTAACACCCGCATTGGGCCCAGTAGCGATACGACCGAGATTTTTCGGGACAGCGGTCCCAGACGAACATTTGGTGGACGGGTGGTGGATGGTTGGCGTCCTTCGAACCGGGCAGTTGTCGTTTTTTCAGTTGCCGCCGGATTCCGGACGACTCTTGGACGGACGAACTCTATCAGTATTTCAGGGGTGGACGGGTTGAACAAAACTAATACCGTCTCACGAATTAAAATTGTTTGCGCCGCCACCGCCCATGCTTTTATATTGTTAAAAGAAACGAGGCGGACAAAGGCAATATTGGAACATATTTTTTTCAAAATATACCGGATATTTTCACCGAAAAATACGTGTACATTTCGGTGACGAAACGCTGTCAGTATTGCACTGAGTAAGTATAGTTGTTGTGCTCGAAATCATTAATGGTGATGCACGACGTTGTTGCCGAAACACGTGTACTGTCAAATGTTTTTTTTTTCTGTGTAACACATACATTTATAGTATGTGTGTGTGTGTAAATTTTGGCGATGCGACTTTAAATATTTTATGTTTTACGTTCATCATAACGCGTGTATTACGAATTATGATATTATTATGATGTAGGTATACGAAGTATATGTACCCAGAACTATAGCGTAGTAGATAAAATCAAGGTCAATGGCAACAGTGCATGTCATTTATGCAAATTTTTATTTAATTTTTCGAATCATATACATTACATAATTAAATTTATAAATTATAATATAGGCACAGGTTGGTTCAACATTTAATTATGAAAAAAATATTTGAAGTAATGTTATACGTTTTTGATAAACAGTAAATGAAAAGTAATATTGATCGCATATCATTCAAATCGTAGATATACCTGTTGTTTACATAATGTATGTTCATGTATATGTATTGATAATAAATAATATGTTATACGAAAATCCATTTTCATCTTTTAGCGGGGAGGAGTGATGTAGTTAAACTGCATAAACCCACACTGGAACCATGTATAGAAAAATTTGTGCAAAACTTAGAAAAAACCGTAGGTATAATTTCGAGCCTATAAAATCATAGGCGCAGCTAGGAGGGGGCTTGGGGGTCTTTAGCACCCTCCCAAAAACACAATAACCTTTTTTTATAATAATGGCTAAACATTTTATCCATGTATTTTAAAATATTTATGATCGATTTCTAAACCTTTTATGTAAAATTGTAAATAAAATGTGTTGTTGCTTATTGTAAGAATCGTAAAAGGGGATATTGTGGAGGCATGGCACGCATGGGTTTTAGATGTGCCCATAATTTTAGTACCCCCAAAGTTGGTAGTCTAGCTTTGCCTACGTTTATAATACAAGTACTTGTATATTATAATACAGTAATATTCTTAAAAATATAAACTTTTATGTATCATACATATATCAATACTGACTAATTATTTTTCATTAATTCAATCGTATTTTTCATTATAGTAAAACATAAACTTGCATAAAATTAAAAACTAAATTTGTTTCATTTCAGTGATTTTTGTAAACTACGCTTTCGAGGAACCCATTCGTAATGGCATTCAAAACAATACAATTGAATCAAAACAATTAACTAATTTTAAGTTGTTTTACGTCAAGAATTGGTATAACTAATTAAAATGAAATCGTATAATTTATCAGATGTTACCTATACCTATAATTATACAGATAACTATATTTTATTGGTGGAAATGATGGAAGTTTGATTTATATCAGTTATCGCTATATAGTACGGACGCCTTGAGTTCATACCGTAAAATTACAATTCTAAAATATGCAATGACAGTGATATTTATTAGAAGGGAGTCATAGAAATAGTCGAGAATCTATATAGGCTATATAATATAAGTCTATACACTCAACCTAGTACTCTAGTATTTCAATAAGGTACTCTAAACGTCTAGACTTCAATTTTTCTATATTATGAATATAATGTTCAGTTAAATTTAAAAAAAAATATATGTTTATTTTAGATAATGCATGATTGCTGAGCGTCGAAATTGCTTATAAACAAAATGTCAAAGCAATTAATTTTTATTCATCGTTACTTTTTCATCACACCAGACAGTATAGTCGCTGTGCGGTGGATAAAATTCATAAGCTAAAACACATTGCCTGCAGATAATAAGTTTATAACTCATATTCTATTCTCATATACTGTTATCTCTTTCCTGTGTGGTATTTTTTTTTTTTTTTTTACATTTATGCATTATAATTATTATAATAAATCAACATTATTCGTTAGCCCAGACAAAACCACAACAAGATATAAATAATAATGCATTTTACATAATATTATTGTCATATGTTAGTTATTATTAACACATGACTTACAACACATTATTAATCACAAGCTGTATCCGAAATCAGCTCGGAAATATAATTTAAATAATTCGTGCTGTTGTATAATAATATTAAACATAAAAATATAAAATTTCCAATCAATTTCGTAAATAGATACTTTAGGTTTAAGACCCAAGAAATAACTAAACACGTTCGTAGGATTTAGAGATTGACATGGCTAAAAAAAATGTATTTAAAACAATTAATTTTTTTAGTGGTAAAATGCTTAAATGATTTGGTTTAAGTTTTAAATTCCGAGTGCATGAAGTTTCTATTGTTTTAACTTTAAATAGTAAAATAATAAAGTAAAAACAAAATTATTAAAATGGTTAATACTCGTAAATAAATATATAAAAAAAAAAAATATGTATAAAAATAACATAAATAAATGAATGAATGAGTCACCTGGAGTATTATGATAATTAATAAGTGTATTATACGACCGGTTTCTAATTAAAAATTCATCATAAGGTATATTACAGTCAAAATGTAAAACGCGACTGAATATAAAAAACTAAATGAAGGAATTCATAGAAAAAAATTATTTATTAAAAAATTATTTATTTTAATAGGAGAGCTTATTTAAAATTAATTATTATTAGACATGCGTAGATATGTTAAGAAATTTAAACTATTTGGTTATTAATCATTATCTAAAACGTATTGATTTAAAATATTATTAAAATTACTTTTCTTTATTTCATTGTGTTTGTGTAATTCTTTTAAAACTAAATTAATGTAAATGTTGTTTTGGAAATTTAATATTTCAAAATCTGTATTAATATCAATACTTATATTATCAAACATAAAAACAATAGAACTAAAAACTTCACAAAAAATCACTCTTATTTTGAAAATGCCGATATATATAAACTCAAATGAAACTGTAATACATTTTATATAGGTAAGACGAATAGAAATTTTGAAATAAGATATAAAGAACACATTTCTGAAATAAAATTAAAAAAGACTGTTCCTAATTCAAATTTCGCTAAACATGTTTTAGAAAATAACCATAATATAAGTTTTGGTATTAATACAGACTTAGAAATATTAAATACCCAAAATAACATTTACATTAATTCAGTTTTAGAAGAATTACACATACACAATGAAATAAAGGAAAATAATTTTAATAATATTTTAAATGTTCAAACAGATTTTAAAAATAATAATCAAATAATTTATATTTCTCGGCATATCTATGTCTAAAAATAACTAATTTAAAATAATCTCTCCTATTAAAAAAATTATTTCTATGTAAAACGACCAATTTGCATAATTATTTTCTATGAATTCCTTCATTCAATTCTTTATATTCAGTCGCGTCTTACATTTTGACTGTGATATACCTGATGATGAATTTTTAATTCGAAACCGGTTGTATAATACACTTATCAATCATCATAATACTCCAAACGACGCATTCATTAATTAATTTATTTTATTTTAGATTCCGAGTGTAGTGGGAAGGCTTATTGGTTTTACAATGCTGTTTATTTCTTTCTTTTTTTTTTCTTCTAGTCTGTGGACACATTTTTTCTTAATAAACTTCTTGCTCCGATTTTTACGTGTAGTAATTTTTCTGAAAGCTCAAGTTGTGTAGATTGTATTTTAAGGAGGTCTTTTTTTAATTTTTGATGCCATTTGCTAAATAAAAACACCGAAGTGGGAAAAAACTTGGGAAAACGTACAATTTTACGATTTCATTATTTTATTAAAACCATCGGACGACTTTTTTTTTTTTTAATAAACGTTTTAAAATCAAACTTAAACGAAAATCGCGAAAAAAAAAATACGACACTTCAAATTATGCATTACCGAACTGCGCTCGGAATTGTCTTTCGTCAAGCAATGGATAATTGTTGCTTTCAGATATAAATGAAATAACCTTATATATCCTACCTTCCCAACTTCTCACCTAAAACAGTGGCCCACATATTGTGCGAAGTAGGTATGCCCGTATCTTTTTTTGTATGATTATTTTAATTCATATACTGTGTAGCTGTTCATACTTGTAGATAGGTATCTGCTTGGCAATTTAAATTATGTAATATGTTAGAATATCCCCTACAATCCCTTTCAATCCCTTACAGTTTAAGAGAAAATTGATGTGTATATAAGATTTCGAAACGTAACACGCACGCTTTTTTTCTAATTTTAATCATTATACCTACCGTATGTGTATAATATCTGATTTACCGATTGAAAAGTTAATACAAAAATATATTAATCTTCTCAGTAGTGTTGTGTAGCATTTTGTTTTTTTTTTTCAAGCTTTCAACAAGTTCTTAAAATTATTAACATACAATTTTTGTTTAAATTTCGTCTTATCATATTTACTTGATTAAAAACCAAGAAAACAAAAATGAGTGGGTACTTACCTAATTGCTTAATTAGGGAAAAACGCACTCAGTTAATAAGACATTAGTATTATATAGTAAAACGTTTAGCTCATTTTAATCAGTTCAGAATAATTATAAATCTAAGTACCTACCTTATAAGTTATAGGTAGATACCTAGGATTAAGAGGACGCTACACGGATGCATTTGTAGTTTTCGTCTTACAAACGTACACTATAATTAAACCATGCTTACGTAGACTACATAGAACTCGTTTAGGTTTGGTTTAGTGTCAAAATGCCTAAAAAAAAATTAAAAGAGAACAATATTCCTGAGGACAAGACGTTGCGTTTTTCCATTTTTTTCAAATTTATACTTAAACAATCAATTTACCGTTTATAATTAACGACTTTTTTCACATTAATTAAATTCACTAAAACTTTTGAAAAAAATTATTTTTTTCAAAAAACCGCAACGTTTTGCCCTCCGGAATATTGTTGCTTAATAATTTCATAATAGATGCTTTTACTCTAAAATCAAAACCAAGCAAGTTCTGTGTAGTCTGTGTAAGCATGTTTTTACTATGTTGTGTGTTTATAAAACGGGAACAACAAATGCATGTGTAGCGTCCTCTTAATAAATCGAATCAATAGTTTTTATTAATATTTATATAAATGTGTAATTTATATTTATGTTTAATATTTATAACCCACAGGATTAAAGGAACAAAATTCGAAATAAATATCTGAACTTGGTATTTGAGAAAGTAGCCAATACAATAACTATTGTAAACGGTGCGCTATCTGATTTTGTTGGTCACACTGTAATTATATATCATAGTATCATACTATAATCTCGTCGTTAGTAATTTGTTAACGATATTGTCAATTTTTGTGTTTTTCTTGTTCCTTAGTTGTTTACACTCTGTTATTATTGGAAAATATTAATTAAATTTCGTTCTATTTATTATTTAATAGGATTATTGTGCCATATAAATTTGTTAATCACGTTGCCCACACAAAAAGTGATTAACAGACGAAAATGACTTCAAATCACAACTTGAACGATAGTAGCGTCGCTGCTATGGAAGACAGTTCAAAGCGTCGTAGGTGAGTTAAATAACGAATTTGTTCTATGGTGAGAAAATTTTGAATTTTTAAAATCATTTTTCAGCTCTCGTTCGATTAAGCGTCGAAAATTTGATGATGAATTGGTCGAATCGAGTTTGGGCGCAGCGTTTGGATCGCCTTTGCCAAAAACTCAACGAGTTCGAACACAATCTCTGAATATGACATCTACAAATTCTACAGGTTTGTACTCAATAATTATTAATTCGTCTTTCATATGATGTCTGTATGAAAAATTAAAGTAGTTGTAATTTTGTCCAATGCATCTATATACTTCATCTTGTATTTTTGTTTGTAACTATCCATCGCAACAGAAATAGTGAATTAATATTTTAATCAAACATAATGAAAATACAGTCCGTACTGATTAAATGTAAATATATCAGGCTATGTTTGGTCTGGTCATATGTTTAAGTAAAATGATTTGACTGAGTTTTTACAATTAACATAATTGAATGTTCAGAATTAAAAGATTAGGTATTTTAATATAGGTATACAAATTATTGGTGTATAATTATAATATATTATAAATTATACAAATTATATTCACTTAAAAATGTGTTTCCACAGATGTCATAGATAGTATCATGTCACCAGTTCATAGTGTTCCTGAAACAGTAATTCCAAACATTATACCATCTACATCAACTACTCAACCACGAAAAGTTCCTCCTAATAGAACACCTACAAATATCATTGCACCCAGTAATTCATTTGCTAGTATTCCTTCTACTTCAGCAGCTACACCATCAACAAATAGAAACAGATCGAGAAAGCAGAAAACTGTAATTAAAGATTTGGGTCGTTGGAAGCCTACTGATGATTTAATGTTAATACAAAGTATATTACAGGTGAGATTAATTTAACTTAACAATAAAATAGAAATTAATAGATTTTAAGATGATTAAATACATTTTTGGTTAACTTTGCAGACAAATAACATACCAATGGTGCATAGGGGTGTTAAATTCAGCTGTAGGTTTACTCTTAAAGAAATTGCCCAAAGGTGGTATGCCTTGTTATACGATACAACAATATCTAGACTTGCCATATCAGCAATGCGCAATTTACATCCAGAAACTATTGCTAATATAGAAGCTAAAGCTCTGTTTTCTGTTGCCGAAGAAGACATTTTAGCTACCATTCAATCTGTATGTTTAACATATTTGATATTTAAGTATTCTTTAAATAAACAATTTGTTATAGACTGCAACACCCACCATAGAAACATTTCAAGATTTGCTTAATGAAAATCCAAATTTATTCCATCGTAGACGTTCAGCTAAAGTTCTTATGTGTCAATGGCAACTTATGAAACGTTTTTCTTTACTATCGGATCAGTGTAGTGAGTGATCTTTTGAAAATTATTTTTTTAATAATTTAAATATTAATATTAAAAACTATTTATTTATTCTATCTAATTTATTACCTAATTGTTAAGATTCTTGAATGATTATTAATGGATGTTATTTTTATACTACAGGTGCTTTAGAAAATCCTATACCAATACCATTAATGAGTTCTTTGGAAGATAGAAATATGCATATTCTGAACAATGAACAAGAAGGTAGTATAAATTTATAGATACATAATATAATATGTTTTCAATAATACTGTTTTTGTTTTATTTATTTAGTTACTACGTTAACTTCAGAGCACATTCCTACATTTGCAGAATGTGAAGATTTATTAAACGATCAACATTTATTGGTTGAAAGGCCTGATCCTGTTCTTGAAAGACATCTTGCTTTAACAAACAAGTAATGCACTTTAACATTTTAAGTATACATTCTTTTATAATTATTAAGCAATTTTCTTAAATTATTTTTTTTTAGTAGTAAATTTTATTTCTGGTATTTATTATGGAATTGTTAAAGTTATAATTTGAACACTATTTTAAAATAGTAACCCTCATTTTCAATACAGATTTGAGAAAAATAATATTTTTCTTAACATTTTTAATGTACAAAATAATAATATTGGATTTACCTTTTTTATGTTATAACGTTATAAACAGGATTCGTAACTGTTAACAGTTTTAGTTTCAGTTATCTAGTAGGTTCTTGAAATTGTTGGTTGTAATTTTATAAAAAGTTTTTTAAATTCGTTATTCGGCGATTTTTAATTTTGTTTTTTTAAATGTGTTATTGGTTAGGTCATTATTAGAGACTGGATTTATATGTTCTAAAAATCCACAAAAAAAGCATTTAAAAATATTTTAAAATGCAAATATAATAGAGTGGATCTAAAAGATTTAACTTATAAATACAATTTTCTAAACACTACAAAAATGATTAATAAAAATTCATTTTTTTTATTATGTATACACTTATTAAAAAGAAGTTATTTTGTGTTAATCATTTTTGTAGTGTTAGAAAATTTAATTTAATAAGTTAAAGCCATTAGGAAGGGAACTTTTAAATCCTTCAATCATTTTTAATTTTTGAAGGTTTTTAATCACTTTTTTGTGAATTATAAGAGAATATAAATCCGGTCTCTAGTCATTATAGATCAGTTTTATATATTTTTATCTTGGACTTAAGCTGAATACATACTATGAGATTCAAAAACACAGATGTGCTTTACTTACACACATGTGACCATGTTTTGAAAACATGCTGATGATAACAGAGCTTAATTTTAATTATGATAAGGAGCTACTTTTATGTTTCCTATAAATAAAGAGCAAGCCAAATATTATTTGAACTATACAATCTTTTGTATTTCATTATAAATTATACTGTATTGAAAAAAAACCAGTTTGCGCATGTACAACTTAGCATTCATTATCACAGTTGCGGAACACCCACCAATGAACTGATAATCATCTTCTGTACATGACACATGCACAAACCATGACGTGTTTTTGTCTGACTCCCGGTTTTCTTACAGTATAGGTAATATTGCTGTAAGAGTCAATTAAGCAAAACCACGGTATGTTTTTGTCATATAAAAAACCTGTAGTGTATAATCAACTTAATACTTTAAAGTTTATAGGAATCTTTAAATTTTTTTAATATGGTGATAGTTGTATAACCATTAAATCGTAATAATAAACTCACAAATATGCAAGTATAGAAGTTAGATTTTCGATTTCGCATGTTAACAAATAATATTTGTTTTTAGTGTATGCAGTTTAAATAGTAGTCTAGTTATTTTTAGAATTCATGAAATACTGAAACAGAATTAAAAAGAATATAATATTTATTTATGTATATATATTAGGGGATGGAGAATATTTAAATTATTTTTGAGGATATTACACAATATTAAAATATCAAAAATTATTTGAAGAAATAATTGCCTTTATTATTATTTTTACGTATCTCCGTGTACTCTGAAGTTTTAAAATTATTTTTACCTCTTATTATTTAGTATTTCTCTTTTTTATCTTTATCCTTTTAATCGCACTAATTAATAATCAAATATCATTCAGTCTCGTGCAGAGAATACTTTTCATACCATATATATATTGGACGCTAGAATGTTGTCGAACGTTTTACGGAATAATCTTTATAACGCTAATTGGCATCAGTATGCAGTCAACTTAATTATTATAATTATAATTATCTTATTAATATTTATAATAATACAATTTTTTCTATTTATGTCCAAATAATCATATATTTTTAATATTCTTTGAATTTTTATGTATTTAAAATTGAATGCATGAATCATTTCAAAGGCCTAGTATATTAATAATAAATAATTACTTATTATAGAAAAATCAAAAGAGAAATAAAAGTTTTAGAAGACGAATTGCCTCGAGCTCAGGTACTAGTGTTTCCAATGACTGGTATCAATCCCGTAGAGTTTGAACCACAAACATTAGCTGTGTTGCGTGGTCGATTGGTGCGATATTTAATGAGATCCAGGGAAGTGAGTACTTTTAAATGTTTAATTGGAAATATATGTTTATAAAATGTATATTTCAGATAACTATTGGACGCACATCAAAGTATCAAGAAGTAGATGTTGACTTAAAACTTGAAGGACCCGCCTGGAAAATATCTAGAAGACAGGCAACAATACGTTTACGCAATACTGGTGACTTTTTAATTGCATGTGAAGGTAAAAAATGTATTTATGTTGATGGAAAACCTGTGACAGCTGGTAATCGTAGTCGACTCAATCACAATTCTGTTTTGGAGGTAAGTGTAAAATTTACATTGGGTATGGTTTGTGTTTGATTTGCTTGTGTATTTAAACTTTAAAGATTGCTGGTTTGAGATTTCTTTTCCTTATCAATCATCAACTGATTAATACAATCAAACAAGAAGCATTCCAACAAAATCAAGCGCAGTTACCTGTTCAAATAGTAAACCAGACACCACAAAAACAGTCCAATCAAAAGTCACAAAAATCAACAGTGACAAAAGCTGAAAAACTTACTCAGAGCATTGATTTACAGCAGCAACAGATGTTAGAAGAACAACAAAAACAAAAGTATGAAGAACAGAAAAAATTATTGGAAGAGCAAAGGCAAAAAATATTTCAGCAACAACAAGATGATGAGCTAGAGCAACAATTAAAACTTTTGCAAGCCGAAGAAGAAGAGCACATTCAACGACAACAAAATTTGTAGTTAGGTATATTTGGTATCTGATTATGGGAATATTTGTATTGAAAACATTTTGTTTGCTCAGTATAGTTTATAAAACTATTTAATGTTCTTCAAAAATATTTATATTGATATATTTATATAATTGAATATTCCGTTTGACGTGAGTTACTTTACATATGATTGAATTTACTTTTATTATTCTGATTTTATTTGATGTGTTTATTTTAAACTGATTATACTAGTTGTCGTTTGGCACATTTAATTTTAATTTTTCGATATCATCATTATTGTTTTAAATAATATTTATTAAAAAAAATGTTTAAATCTTTACGTAAATTAATAAATTATGGGTTAGTTTGATTGTTTACAAATTTATTTATTTATTATAAAATATATGAGCAAGCCCTTTAGTACAATTCAAGTTACATTACGGTACATACTACAGATTACAAAATAAAATTAAAACCCTCTATAAATGAAAGGTGGTCTGTATTTGCACGAAACATCAAATGTCTTACTGGTTTATTTTAAAGAATAATATTATTAATATAATAATAAGTAATAATTAGGCTTTGGGACTTCTTGCATATGCATGTTTTTTTGAAGTGGTCATAGATTATTTTAAGTAAGCTATACATTTGTTTTATAAAATGCCGAAATTAAATACAAATTTTGAATTTGCATATTTTTGCACATTTTGTCATATTTTAGGAAAAGTACATACTTGAGTAATTTTTATCATATTTTGCATGTGTGCATGTTTTAAATTTTTATGTAACTAAAATTGTCGAGTAAATTGTATGTGGATAACATTCAAAAATATTTCTTTTAATAAATTACTTAAGGTAGGTAGGTCTAAGCGCGTGTCTTTATCATTATCGATTAGTAATCAACCTTGTTATCGACAATTTTTATTATGTACCTATCTATTTTGAGATTTTTATTTCTATAGTTATTATAATATGTTTTATGCGTTAAAAATAAAGTAAAAAATTACCTGAATATTTTGACTGCATATTCTGATCATTTTTAGTGCAACAAGTCCTGAACCTTAGTAATAATACAGGCATTTTGTTGTAAAAACGTTTTCCTTAAAGATAACTAGTGTTAAATTAATTATGGTAGTTCAACAGACTCAATTATAAATACTCTATTAAAATTTATGACATACGTTTTTGTTAATTGATTCTTGAGTTCTATTGATGTTTAACTAGGTATAAAATTCTTGTTATTTCATCATGTCCCCTCCCTTCCCGGGGCAGTATCTAAATCCCCCCCCCCTCGAGGTGAATTTCTCTCCGATTAGGAATCTTAGTGTTAAAGTGATTTTGCAGAGTAATTTATTTCAATCGCCTAGAGCAGTGATGTCTAACCTTTTTTCTTTGGCAGGTCACCTAGGTTAACAATTATCAAGCGGAATACCATTTTTTTTAAAAGTCCGAATAATCTCAATTAGGTATATCATCCAAATTTTATTTAATTACTAACAAAATGTATCTATATAATTTTGTATACATGAAGGTACATTTTGGACTTGTTTCGTTATATTTTATTGACTATTGAAAAGATTACAAATTGATACAGAATAGACATTAGTTTCTATCAGTATGCTCTTTTAAGTGCGCAAGTGATATTGATATTAAATCGTAAAATTTCCATTTGAAAATATCCGACAGAAAAAAGCACAAATATTTTTTACTAATTTTACTTTTTTTTTTTAATATTTTAAAAATTTGTAACGGTCTGCATAGAATACTTTTGTGGGCTTGGCACCACTGACCTGCAGTCTATCTCGAAAACTACATTGAAAAAAAAAAATCAGTAAAGATGATATATTATAATATACAATAATATGGCTTGTACATTTATAATTCATATAATATTAAATACCTATGTTTTTAATTTTACACACTTTAATATTTAGAATTAGATTGAATGTAATCCACCCTTATTATTAGTAACTCGATGTTGCCAGTATAGTGTATTTTTAAAATTAAAATAATTATACTCTACAAACCATATTATATTCATTGTAGTATGTGCTACTATAAAATAATTAATCAATATTTAATATAATTGAGGCCAAAGAAGCAAATGAGCTGAGGCAATACAATGTAAAATTTATTTAAGGCAATCTGGCCAATATGAACGGCAGTCTCTGAATCGTACGCATTTTATTGTGACGACCAGTGAACATCTAAGCCTTGTTTAACATTATTTTTTTTTATTTTGTGTGTTAATATAGTTTCCCATGCATTATAATAGTATATGTTTCTATTTGAGGAATCACACTGCTTAGTCCAATCTGAAAGCGATTAATTCATGGTCATTGTGAACTAAAAGTCTAAACCATGAAAGTAGTTCTATTAATTTTTGAGAGCTAGGTATCTACTGGAAGATCATTGTTGTTATAATAAATAATATAATTCATAGTTTTTTGAATAAAATAATTTGTCGAAAAATGTTGATTTCATCTATTAGTTTACGTGTTTTTTTTTTTTTTATTTTTTTATTATCACAGTTAATATTTGAATACGTCGACAAAATCTCAAATATTCTGTTCATGACGTGAATAATAATTTTAAAGGATATTATTATTATAATGTATAAGTATGTACAGTTGTGTTTAAATAAACGAGCGGGTGTATACCTACCTACCTACCTAATGTTTTCAGCAATTGGCTAGGTATACGGTTAAAACAAACACGACAACGATTTTTTTTTTTGACTGCGTGTTTATGATTTCAAATAAATTTGTTTTGCACATCGAATATACCTACACTATACATGGCCGTAAGTTTTGTTATTACTTTTTTTTTTTCGCGTTACTAAAATTTTGATAAAAACACGGCATCGACTTACTAAAATAATTATTCGAATAAACGCGATGAATCGTATATATATTTCGTTATTGTAATTTTTTGTAGGTACGTTTAGCGTTTTTTTTTTTTGTTTTTTTTAAACTTCATATCGTTTGATTACAGATAATATATATATATGTATATAAAGTAAAAACTAATTAAACGCATGTTTAAAATACAACGGTACCTACCTACCTAATCGACATTACCTAGATACCTTATTTCGTGCGGTAGATTGTTATTTTTTTTAAACTAGTTGTATTGTATACTTTTTTAATTTTGTTTTTTTGTTTTTATTTAAGTATTAAACAATCTGTGAAATAATTACAACAAGCACAAGTGAAAGAAGTTAGCAGTTTACAAGTATCGAGACAATAGACGTGAGTGAAGAGGCTAAACATTTTTGGTATTTCAGGGCGTGTTTTGGTCATAGTTAGCCAATAAGTCTCGACACTATGTTCGCTTTAGACGCCTTCTATGGTCCCCAAGGATAGTGTAGGTTAAGAGTTCAGCTATTAGTGAATTTTTATGATCGTGGGTACTGTAATGGAGACGTTTGTAGAAGGTTTTGGCTGTGTTTATAACTGTTTGTATGGAAATGTCTTTATGGAGAGTATTGTTGAAGACATAGTATGGATAATGGAGCCTATGTTATTTGCTGGAGACATTTGGTTTGGAAAATTTGTATTTTATTGATATTAGAGTGCTTGGCAACCCCCCCAAAGTTATAGGCCCTAAGTCCATATAGGTTTGAGGAGCATTTTGTAAATAAGAAGTTTAATTTTGTGATTAAGATGTTTTGATGTAAGAAGGTAGCGTATGGAAAATAATTTTAATTTTGTATACTATATAGTTAGGACAAGATAACGAGTAGGGGGTCGACTCTGTAAACGCATTTACGGCACACATTCACGATGAAAATCAGCTATAGGTGCTGGGAATTCCCAATGTACAAGAGTAAATGAGGTGACTCGTGAACTTATAGACTCGGGTTTTGAGTTCCGGATCTAACGTAACTACCCAAGACGTAACTAACGGAAAGGACGTAGGGGATTAAGTATATTTGCCCGGTTGGCTAAAAAATACAACAGTTATGAGTTATTTTATTTAGTAGCTTTATGGAATTCTCTTCTGGTCAGGTGTAGCGGAAACAGATTCTGCGTTTTAGCTACCTACTTATCTACTCACGAATCATTATTTACTGCATCGGCTCATATTGATATGACTCCTGGGCACCAGTGGCGTAGCGGGAGTTATCCGTTTCCGCCAAATCATACACTGGTCGATTCCTTTTTTCAACAAATGAAAAAATTTAGTCTAATATTCGAATATTAATGGACGATTGTATCATAAATTATTATTATTGTATGATAATAAATATATTTTACTTGTTGACAACGCGGTTCGGTTCAAAAGTATCGACAGGCTGCATCATAACGGCCGGATTCGTACACATCGTACGACTTCTCGTATTAATATCAGTTGATACAGATATTATAACAAGCAAGATTAGCAATATAATCCATAGCGTCGGAAAAATACGATAATCAGCGATAAATTTATCATTGGACGAAGTTACAATAGGTACGTTATAGATATCTTGCGACGAAAAAATAATAATAAAAATAAGTTGAACTTATGTACTACAATAAAAAAAAGTGATTATATTTTCGAGTAAAAAATTGTGGTAAAAAACAATTGTTATGAGTATTAACAACTATTTTTACCTAATATTCAATAAATATCAAACGACATTTTTATCGTATACAAATAGAAGAAAACTTACTAATTTTTAATTTTATTTATTTGTCAAATTAATATTTGTTATGTATACATTAATCTTGTATCTATGCATCCATCGAATATTAGACTGGAATTTCTTTATTTGGCGGAAAAAGGAACGGTACATTTTTGACGGAAACCGGCCATACCCGGCGTAGCATAGGGCGGGTGGATTGGCATTTTCTAGTGGTGATGTTTTAATCGCGACCGTAGCCTATAGGTAATAAAATACAATAATAGGTACCTATTTATATCCGTGGTATGTTACAATTTTTAAACTGCCCCCTCCTTTGACTGAGCTCCAGCTACGCCACTTCTTTTGCTTTATATTGTTTATAGGAAAACAGATATCAGTTATACGAAAAATGAATTAAAATTAACAAAATAAAACACTCAATATTTTTATTTTTTTTTTTTTTTTTGAAAAGCACAGTAGGTAAACCGTAGGAAAATTGCAAATTTTTAAATTATAATTACTGAAATAAATACATTTTTTTTTTTTATTACTATTTCGGGTTTAGTGACATAATAGTGTTCTAATGAATGGCAATAATATTATTTTTTTGAAAAACTACTTGAGAGAGTATAATACTAAGTATACCCGTGATTTTGCAACAAAATGCTGAAAGTATAATATGGCGTATAGTATAATGTCGTATACCCTTTGGGATCGCTTCTGTATAGTGACGTCCGGGAAGTTTTTCAGTGATTTCGTCACTACAGTAATATTGTAATAATATTATTATTTGTCCATGTCCGAGAAAAATAATTTTTTTTTATGCTTTTTCCCGGCATGCGTTTTATGAATAATACACAGTCGTCCTATTATAGCGACGGACCGGCCAGACAGCGTTAATAATAATACGATTTTATAGTCTCGTCTCATTTTTTTTTTTTACCATCTAAACGACTCGTATCTATTTTATGGCCGAGCCGACGGAAATAACTCGTGTTGCACATAGGCGTAAATGAGTTATGCGATTATACATTACTATTATTATTATAATGTGTAGCTCGTTCCAAAATCTGAATTAACGCCGTACGTGTGGTGCAGTGGTCGTGTATATTCGTGTAAGTACTAATAAGCTGGTATAACATCATGTTTATATTATTTTCTTGTGTAATGGAAGAAGATGATTACATTGGGACATAGGACGTATAAGCAGAAACGATTTGTAAATGGACAAATTAGTCACGTTTCAACATAATATGATGTTAATCCATGTTATTTTTGTATAGGTCGTAGGCAGGTGCAAGTAGGTGCTCAAAGTAGCAAACGTATTATCGGAGAAACAAATCGCACGAATTATTGTTAATGTTTTAAAAGTGTAGCGAAAAGTCCGTATTTCGTTACTTGGTTAAATCTAGTGGCGTAGCCAGGGGAGGTTGTAATCCTGCCCCTTGATTTTTTGAACTATAGGTAAGTAGGTACGTAAGGTTATGAAGATTTTAAACCCATAAACAGCTCTACCATTGATATATCGTCGTTACGCCACTGGCCAAATCGTTTACGAAATCCAATCACGTTATTAAGAAATATGTTTACATTTTTTTATCATGAACCAACAATTATCTCAGAGGATTTGAACTGAATTTGATTTTTGTTTTTTCTAATCATTATGGAATCGTTCAAGGTTCATTTTAAAACTATTTTAAATTGTTTACCCCTACTCCATGTACTTTAAACAAGTATGTAGTTTTGATTTTCAAATAGGAACCCCTTCCTTTTTTGAACACATATTTGAATACAGAATATTTTTCTAGAAATTTTGATATGCATAACACTAATATCAGATTTACCGTTTATGAGTTATAACAGTTTAGAGTTTAGAGTGGAGGAGTAGGAAAGGGTTATAGTCTTATAGGTAGGAAATTTATTACCCTTCCCTACTCTTCCGGTCTAACGATAAATCTAATATTAGTGTTCAAAAGGAGGAGGGGGTTCCTATTTGAAAATTAAAAGCGTATACTTATTTAAGGTACATGGAGTAGAGGTAAAAAATTAAAAATGGTTTCAAAATAAAGCTTAAACGATTCCACAATGAATAGAAAAAAAAAAAAACAGAAATACAATTTACTGAAAATTTTCTGAGATAATTGCTGGTTCATGATAAACAAATCACCTTGTATTTATTTTATTGTTATTGTTCTCAGTCACCTATACTTGGCTATTCATATCTGTTTCATAAGTTTAGTTCAATTTAACAATACAATTTTACCCATATCGCGTCACATTAAAAAAAAGAAAATAATAATAAATACGAATTCGAAGACACCAAAATCTTAAAATGTAAAATGTTACGGAACATTTTGCACTAATTGCTCGAAATTTTTGTTCCGAGTTAGGTTTAGCAGTGGTTTTTTTCGCGGTCGAATGATTTATATCTTAGTAATTTATTAGGAGACTGGGCAATTTTTCAAAGGCCCTCAAGTGATAAACATGTAAATACGTCATTGGGCGAAGCGCGGTGCGAAGTATGTCCGGCTTTTTTTTTTTATATGCGTGTAGATACGTAGGTAGGTACTATTTTAATGTAGGCACCTATTCGTATTTCATAATATTACTGTGATTATTATCTGTCATTATTATTATCAGTGATCGCGTTTATTATTTTAGTAAACTCGTTAATGAATTGTTTAATTATTAGGCACCCGTTATATGCCATCACGTAATAGGTTAGGTTGGACGATAAACATCGGGAATTAAACGCGTTCGTTTGTCCCTGATGCGGTTTTATTATACCCTGGTTTACGATGATGTTGTAGCATCGCTAAAACAGCGAAACATAAAACCTTTTAACAGGCGCCTAAAATAATAGTAGTATAAATGATTTATTCATGTTTAATTAAACAATAATAATGAAATGCAGTATTAAAAATAACTAATGAATTTTTTGTTTGAAAAAATTGTGTAATACTTTTGGAACAATGTTGACATGGTTACCTATTTTGGTTTACAGCAGTTCGTAACGGCTGCGATAATTGCGTAGAGTTCCTTATTCCAATGCGTGCGCTGTACGCGTTTTCACGTTTTCACGTGAAATTAACAATCGATCCGTTAAAACCGGTACAGGTAACAGAGACTCGGCGAACACTAATTTTGGTGAGTGAAAATAAAAAAAAATCAGCCATACTGTGTACACCATGTGCAGTGAACTATATCAGCTGCTGATAATAATATCAAAGTGTTGACGACATATTTACACTTTTGAGGCGTACGGGCATATATTTTATTGATGAGCATAAAAAAAAAAAAAAGCCATCGCGTGTCTTGTGACGCCCAATCCCAAATGTGTCCCCGGCAGGTTGGTTAGGTGCTTAAAAAAAATCAGTATACGGTATACAACATACACGTAAATGTATTTTTCACGTATTCACGTGAACGATACTAAAACACGTGAACACGGATAGTAAATTCACGTGTATCAAGTAGGTATACGTGAGCACAACATTTCCATTCACGTGTACACGGAGTGAAACAATTACCGTTCGAACGAGACAGTTATTATTTTTTACTTTACGCCGTAATGTCTACAATCGCGCTATATAATTGCTTTTCATTCATAACTTGTTAGTTATTACCACCGTTAAGGTTATGAATTTCGGGTATTATTTGTTAGCCTATTATGAGACATGCAGCTTATTTTTAGCACGGAGTTTGAATTTGTACGTATGACAATATGCGTATGTATTTAATTTTTAAAATTTGTTTAGCTCCTTTTTGTTTATCGTTTTCGATATTTTCAATGTTTGAATTTTTGCTCTTTTTTCGAATATATTTAACGGTATTTTTAACGATATTTTTGTATTATTTATTTATTTCTAGGACTAATAACTTGTTATGGCGTCACGTGTCAACGAATTGCAAAGGTCGGCAGTAACTGGCTAAAAAGTTAAAAAAAAAAAAACTGTGTACTAATATTTTTTAGTAACATTATGATGGGCATGCGGCCTATGCAGGGATATGGGTTATCCGCACGAGTTTTGTTTATGTAAGCCTATACAATTCGTTGGCTATACGAACTATACGTTTATGAGTGTATGTAAAGGACAATTAAAAAAAAAAAAATAAAAATTAAATTTCAACTCTATTAACTTAACTAAGTTATAATTTTTCTAAAAATGTACAACCATTAACTTAGTTACTCGAATCCGTTAAAATTTCAAAATTAACTTCAACTTAACATGGTCGTTTTTTTTTTTTTTAGGGAAAGTCACTTCTATAGTCTATCGGCGAACTTGCCCAGCTTCGGTGAACCGCGCCACAGAAAATATAACGACAACAACCGTTTTCAATATATTTTCAACGAAAT